TAACAAACTTTTGCATAACTTTATGGAGAGAGAAGAACATACCTGTAGCCGTAAATAAATCCACAAAATCCACAGCTTTGTAAGTCCTGGAAATTTAATACTACTCGGGTTCGTTTTAGTGGATTCACCTGGCTGAAGGCGCTCGGTCACGCATCCGCAACAGATCACGTGTAGGTACTCTGTGATCAACTTTTACTACAGCCACTACTCAGTCTATGTCAATTACTTTCCGATATATCGATGGCCAATCATAGATATCTTTGAACCTATTCGCTTTTGACTTTTGATTTCACTGGGTGGGCATGTTTCGACCATAGAAAGATTTGCTGATTAAGGTGTTGTCGAACTCCAAATACTCTTGTCAACTTTGCACAATATCGAGTATTCTGCGTTAGAATTTTTAACAGTTCACATCTCTTATAGTGATGTTTTTGAGCAACTAAGTAAGGAATTTCCGTTCTGCTCCTCCTCATCTTATATCTACCGAATGCTGCTCCATCTTTTTTCATATTGACCTAAGTGAGCTTGGGCTTCTCAAAGGCGGTGAGATTCTGAGCCTTCCGAACTTATGTGGGTCTGCTGTCTTGGATATAATCTAGCCTTTGTTTATAAAAGAATATCTAGACACTATTCATCTTCTTTCTGCTAGTTTCTTCAAATATTCTTTAGTCGAGGGTTGTTGACCGATAAAAGAGTTTTTTCATGACGCTAGGAAGTTGAAAGCTTTTACTTACGGACTAATTTCCGCACCTCTGATTGTCCTTGAAATCAAGTAATGAGTTCTTATAGTATCGTTGTGAAACTACCTACACGGTAACTTTAGGGTCACCGGATTTCAACTATGCTGTACAAACCTACTAGCTAGAAGTTCCCATTTGGACATGAATAATCTGTGCACTTGGGTCTCGGAGATTTTTTCGAGGTATTTGAAACGGTTGATGATCAAATTCTTTGAGTAAATCTGATGTTAGTGAGTATTATTATGTACCCGATGAAGTGGCTTTTGGATTAAATATGGAAAAGATCACAAGCCGAAGGTTTATGCTCCGTCATATCTGATTGTTTATTGGTGACATATAGAGTACTACAAGACGCGTCTCCCTAACCACCTCTTTTTCTGGTTATTTGTCTGCTGCTATAGTCTTGTGAACTATGCTACATGTAGATCAATTAAGACCTGGTGAGATATACTAGTTCACTCAAATCTTATTTGCTTAATATAACTTGGATAAGATGTACTAATAGGGTTCTGAAAATCTCCTCTCTCAATACCAGAAAACGTAGAGTGCTAGCTGTGAATATAGGTAATATTCTATCCACTTTTTATTTTCTAAATTATTCAGCATCCCATCCCTAACCACAATAAACAGCATGAAAATCACTCTATATGATGTTCTACGTGCTTCCTACCATTGATATTCTCAAACATCAAGCATGCTCAGTCTCTAGCTTTCGTCCCATAAAATCAGGTCGCGTGATTATTTAATCATTTACTGTTTTCAGTAATTACTGAAAACCTAGTTTTTAAAAATCTGTATCATACCTCATATCTTAAGAAGGGATATCAATCTTCTGAAACGTGCTCAAAGAAGAACCGCCTAGTAAGCATTCAATCCGGAATAACCTTACTCAACTCACCTAGGAGCTTTGAATTTACCACCTACAAAGTACAGAAAGATAAGAAGTATTATAAACTAAAAGTATCATCATTTTTGGCTTGGTAGATCAATAATCCGTGAAAAGCCTATTTTGTATAGACTTTCTTAAGAAAGCCCACTTTTACTGCTGATAATGCATATAAATGTTAGTAGTTGGGATCTATCCGTAAGGTTGTAGTTGGCGGTGTCTTTGTTTTTAAAGTAACGATACTGTGGTATCGTGACGCTTTTTTGCGCTACTTCTCTATTTCTGCTTTGCGTACAGCCAAACATCGAAATCAATTATAAATAAATTTGAAGCTGTATTTTCTGATTCCAAAACTGAGTGCTTTCAGGCTATAGACAAATCTACTGAATGTTGAACGCCAAGAGGTTTTCGCTCCGAAGTCATTTAAAAGTATTGTCTATCTATCATTAGTAGCCATCTAGGTGGAGGCAGAATATGCGTATGGCTAACAAATGTTTGGTTGTTAAACGGTTTATGTTGCAAAAAGCGATATAGTTATAATTTGCATACATCCCTAACGTTATTAACGAAGGTTTTTGAGGTATCCCGATCCCCCCATTTGAGCGAAACTTTTACACATTTTGGGGAAGCCGCTGTAGAAAATTTTGGGGAAATGGCACAAAAACCCAAAAATTTCCCCAGTTCTGATTTATCGCGACAAATCGGTTCTTGTTACTATTTGTAGCTGAATTGTTCTGCTACTGCGTTTACTGTGAAAAGTTAACAAGGAAAAATGGAATGCATAAATAGAAACTTTTGGGCACTTAATATTCCAGGGAAATTCCCAGAAATTTATTGTGTTAACAAAATATTTGTTCACAATTTTCAACTGATATCAGAGAAAAGCCTGGCAACTTAAGTAATAACAATCCAAAAGTTTCTATTCATGTATTCCGATTTTTTCCTGTTAACTTAGCACAGTAAACTCAGTACAAGAGCAATTTAACTACAATCGGTGATAGGAACCGATATGTCGCGATAAATCAGCACTGTTGTAATTAAAAGGCTGATTCGTCACATATGAAAATATTTGTTAAACTTTAGTAAAGTATAAATTACCCATTAATACATAACTTCTTCCAACTCCTAATAATTATTCATGTGTTTTGGAGAAGTACGTTATGTAGATGTTGAACTTTCATTCACAATGTTCTGTAGAAAGAAAAAAAGTTATTCTTTAGTAAACAAACAAATATGATGGCAATCATCCAACTTATGAATCGTAACTGCCATATAAGAGGTTGATTACGTACCAACGGTATAACAATAATGTAGTCTGAATAAAAAGCTTATAGTTACGTCTATTAACACTTGCGAAGCCAGCCGAAAATGAGATGGACGAGAAATAATTTCAGTATAAACGTTTATCAGAAACCAGTATATAGTCACATATATAAAGTGCATTAGGCTAATCCTATCTTTGGATCGCCATCCACGGCAATTTACCTTATTTCTTGAGTTGTGTAAGAGAGCCTGTTTGCAACATCCATGGCTTGTGTTGCACCGCGGAACTGTTGACACAGAATATCTACAAATAAATTAGTGCTGTGATGTGTACTTACTTTGAACCGTCCTGTAGAATCGGGAATTACTGATATCTGATTTACTGTTAGTTCCATGATTGTCAGTTCCGGATTCAGCACGTAAGCTGGACATGCTCTGATTGATTTCCGAATATCATTGCATACGATCTCGGACAATCTGACCACTTAAATTTTTTAAAGACCTGTTACAACTTACGAGCTGATCACGAAACAGGAACTCCTCCAAAGCAGCTTCAAAACTGCACACTTCTCAGGTGTTTTCAATTGTGATGCGAAGCTTGAAGTGTCTGGGTTTTCGCTGCACCTGTCCTTCGCACCCATGTATATGCTCCTAACGTAAGTAGTCAATTTATCCATCTTTTTAGACAGATAACTGATTGCTTTCAGAATCATTTTGGTGTCATCAGTGTACAACCTTTTGTTATCATGTTTACATTAACTCCAAATTACGGTTTACTAACTTCCATTAAAATGGATGGAGGCGGTAATGAGAAAAGCTTTGTTTTCGATGAACTGTTTTATTGACATTTATTCAATAGGTGGTTACCTCGCTGTAAGTGAGAAGTTCAAAATGTCAAAATTCAAAATTTCGACAACATGTGGAGGCATTTCGTTAATCGCATTTGTTAATAAAAAGCCTAGACTACACCGTTTGCTGTACTCTGTGCACACTAGAAGTAACCACATGAGGCAGTGGATGATTTTGGGACAATGCTGCTACACTGCTTTGTAGCTACGGCGTTCTACACTTTTTCCACACCAACTGAACTGTAGTTTTCATAGTCAGTGGTCGTTGACTGTTACTTCTTCTCAAATTCAGATCTAAACCTCCTCAACTTTTGTTAAGGGTTGATCTGGGACAGCCCATCAAGTTTAACATTCTGCTGGCTGTAACCCGTCTTTTATCACTTTCATTACACTTTGGATTATTAGTCTAAAAGAAACAATTAGCTGCAGTCAGACTGAACATGTGCATCGATCGAAGGTTTGGACAGTATAAATAACTCACATGCATGGAGTGAGAGTTTTAAAAAAGTGGCGTAGAGTCCACAATTTTCGTGTCTGTTTGACATACTAAAACAAAACCTCAACATCGGCAATGTACTCGTAACTGAAGTTCATGATAATATCCAAAAATCATATTTGTTGATAGCGATTTCATCTTTGAAACTTTTAAAAATGCAACGGTTACTAACTGTTTGTCCAAAAAACAGTGCAATACAGACTTTTGCGTTTTTTCTCAAAATTTCTACATAATATGGAGATCGGGATTGTGGTTCTCATCATGACGTAACATTAGCTATGGTGTAAGAACAAATTCCGACCGGAAATCTGATTGGTCTGTCTATATACTTTACTCCTGTAGCTATTTTTAGTACATAAATAAATTCTGTGTTTTCGCCTTGATATCTGCTTTCCATTTAATTTTCCTAAACTCAACTTTTAAAAGCAACTGAACAATAGGTCAGGAGCGAGTTAATTAACTGCTAGTGTTTACATACAATAAAAAAACAATGTTATTCACTTGTTCAAAAGGTTGTAAAGTTTTTGCACTTAGGTTTTCAGTCGAAGATGGCAATTTTGTATAAATAGTTATTGCACGTGCGATAACTACTCATTATGCATATTAGTACTAATATGCATAATGAATTAGTACTAATTTAAGTTATTGTTTCTCATCTTTTTGTTTATTAGCTTCTGTAAACATTGTTCCTTCCTCTAACTATACATATATTTCGGTTTCGGGTGTTTTAAATTTTTAGGCGAGACTAATTTATGAACGTACCAATCAAATTCAAGATAGCGGATCTTGGATTTTGGAGCGAAATTCATTTACTCATTTGGCCAAATACTATTATAGCTGATGTCGGTCCGTGATAAAAGCATCAAATCGAATTCCTAACCCTGACATCCAACTTTAAATCCTACTCTTAATTCCTCACACAAATATACAACCCTCATTTAACCCTGGTAAGTAGGTGCACATTTTCAAGGTCATTCTAACGTTGCTCAAAGGTCGTCCATAAATTATAGTCCCACCACATTTTCTTCTGTAGGTACTACAACCATGGATCGCGATTATGCTCCACTTTCGTCCAGCTGTATAAAGAACCTTGTGGATAAGCTTTTTGATAAACGCAAATTAGCATCTCAAGAAATCGAAAGGTAATTCGTATTGCGTACTGATAGTGAACATAGAGTTGTCAAGGATTATATTAGTCAGGATAAGCTTTCAGATATTTCTCGAATCATTGGATACTTCAGCCAGGACTTTATTCAGTCTGCCAACCCTCATACTCGAAAAGGTGGTTTATTTGGTCTAGCTTCTGTAGCAATCGGATTAAATGAGGTAACGCAGTTGTATGTTACTGAATATTGCAACCTATTTAGGACGCACGTTTTTTTCATGGACCAATAATTTTACCTATAATTCGCACATTCCATGATAACGACCCACGCGTGCGACATTATGCATGTGAAGCCCTTTTCAATGTGATGAAAATAACTAGGAAAGAGACGTTAAATTATTTGAGCGATGTGCTTGATGCCATTAGTCGAGTGAGTCAGGTTAATTCAAAATATTGATATTGCTTTCCTGATAACTAAGAGTACGTCTCGCTTTTTGCTGTACATATATGTATCATACTTTTTTCCTTTTCTCAAATACATTTGTAGATAAAGATTTTTATACGAGACTGTATGTAGTTCAGGTGTCGCATCAGGGGAAATAAAAGCTTAGTGCTGTTGATCAACTACCTATTCTGGAATATTTGATCAACCATTCCCTGATACCCCGTGTCTAACTTCACTATTACTTACCCAGTGGTCCTAGCTTATACGAGCAGTTTTTCTAAGGCATCTGTGGTCAAATACTAGTAGCTTACGAGGATCTTCTACTCTTAATTGCCACATTTCGCAGCCGTAAAGTAGAACGGAACAAACTGCCGCGAAGTATACTGGTCCCTTAATTAATAGATGGATATCTCGCCTTCGCCATAGGTGACGTAAGTTGGCGAAAGCCAAACGACAACTTCACTCCCTATCCTTAGTTCAGGTGTTGATGCAGGCCAGTCCTGAAGCAACAACTTGTATTTAGAGGGGGAGGAACGCATTCCAAATATTCTGGTATAGAGTTGTTCAGTGCTACCAAAAGACTGCATTTGATCAGCGTTTTAACCAAACAGGACTATGTCATTTGAGTATTCTAAGTCGATAAGTTGACCTCCTGGTAGGAGATCAATTCCCAAAAATTCAGTCGACAAGAACGTTATTTCCATCAGTAGGTCTATGATGAAGTTAAACAAAAATGGAGAAATTGAACAGCCTTGACGGACACCACTTGAGGTTGCGAAAGCAGATGGCAGTCTGCCATAAGCTCTGACTCGACTAGTAGTGTTCGAGTAAAGAGCCTTCACAAGGTTTATGTACTTCTGAGGTATGTCTTTCAATGACAGACACTGTCTGTGTTCTAGAACATGACGAATGGTGAACATGTGGTCGATACAGCCACGACCAGGTCTGAAGCCAGCCTGATTTCCTCGTGTTTGCAGTTCACGAGTCTTAGTTAGGCGACCGACAATTATCGACGCTAGTATTTTAGATGTTATGTTAGTCATACTAATCCTTCTATGGTTGTCACAGGATGATTTTAACCCTCTCTTATATATTGGGACGATCAGTGATTGTGACCAGTCAGATGGGATAACGTCCAACCCCCAGATTTTAGCTAAAATATTAGTCAACTTAATCACCAAAACTGGACCACCGTACTTAAGGACCTCTAGAGCCAATCCATCTGGACCAGCTGCCCTTCCTCATTTCAGATTAACTATAGCCTTTTGAACTTCAGCTAGATTTGGGAGACCTACTTCAATGTTTCATTCACACTGTCTGGGAATGGTGGGTAGTTGTAGAGTAGCGGAGGTTTAGCTGAACTGCTCCTTAGATTGTTCCGCCCATCGTAGTGCTATACCTATACCCGCCAGTCCACTTTGGTTAACCTAGATGTGACTTGTTTTCGCCCTTCATCGTGTTCGGGGCCTGATGGGATGAGTTTACGAGAATCTGCCAATGCAATAGACTTAGTAGAAATCCATTGATTTTTCGTAACCCTTCGTTTTGAATCACTAATAGATGTCGTTTCTGTTTCCACAGCTGTCCGTGTGTCTTTCCAAGCAACATCTGGGTCAGCCTCGTTTTCAGAACTACCTAAGTGTGACCTTAGTTGTTCCTAAAATCTACTTTTGGCTTCCTTGTCACTGAGTTTGACTCTAATGGGTATTCTTAATGTGGTTTCTCTGGGTCCAGTGATGCGCAAGCAGATGTGTGCTCGTATTAGAGCATGATCCGAGTCCAAACATGTACTCTTGAACTAGTGGCAGTCTTCTATCGAGCTTCTGCAACGATGACTGATGGCGGTATGGTCTATTTAAGTCCATCGTTGATTTGGTGTAAGGGGTCGCCATGTTAGACGATGTCTCTCTTTATGCTTGAAATTCGTGTTTGCTAATAATAAACGATTATCTGAGCACAGTTGCAGTAGATGATCACCATTATCTGTTCCCTGAGCCGGAATATCAAAATACCCACCTAAATGTCTTTCCTTTTGGTTTGTGCTACCTATCTGGGCATTGAAGTCACCTTCTACGAGTACTATGTCTGAACGTTTAGATTGATTATGAATACAGTGATCTTGAGTTCTGTTAGAGGTATGAGGGCGGTTATCACTTCCCGGTTGCTCACACTCTGTAAGGGTTCTTCTGGAGGTACCTGAAAAGGGAATTGTGTTAGAGGTGGTCATAGTGACCTGAGAGCGTGATCGCAGTGCCCAAGGGACAACTGCTTGAGGCTGGTCACACACGGTTTTTTGTGCTAGTTTGGTACTTATTGAGACATTATCACCGTGTTATATTTTTCTCTTACGGTTATGACCCAGCCATTCCTATTGCTTAGTATTCTCGGACACCGATTCACTCAACAAGTCACCAAATCAAAACACGGTTGAACAGGAAAAAGGTTATATTCCAAATAACAAGGTTAGATGGAAGTAAGAAGCACAATAGGGAAAACGTTAGTGTATTTATAGTTTTTACATGAGAAGATTCTAGAGTATTCTCTAAGTATCGACTAGTGCTGATTGGATGAGAATTAGCCAATCAGCGTGCAGCAAAGCAATCGTGCATTGAGCATGCTTTAATCCAGTCTATGTCCCGCTAACACACCGGAGACGGAAATTCGTGGGATAAGGCGAGGTGTGCATTTTTAGGGTCGACCTTCTCTAACCCCACCCCTTCTTATGAGAAGGGAGCATCGCTGTAATGCTGGTTATATGAAGGAAACACCTTACTGCTGTCACACCTCTGTACATTCATCGACCCCGAATGCCCATGGTACGGCCCCCGAATGCCCTGGTACGGCCGAGAGTGGGGAGAGTCCGCTCTCCCTCTCGAAGTACTCTCACACGGCCACGCGTATACAGCCTCTGCCAGGGAAGTCCTACTCATTGCCTTCTCGTGGCGGGGGTGTTGTTTACGAAAATGAGAGGACGAAAAGCGAATGTCCGGCGCTTTAACTGGATTCCAAACCAATGGTGCACATGGGCTCCAGTATCCTGCGGGAACAAATGGCGTATGAACCAATCGTTGGTCACCGGCTACCATGGGATTGCATCTCCTTACGATGCTCCACTGCCTTGTAGGTTAGACCTTTAGGTCAAAGGCTCGGGGTGTGGCCCCCTAAGATAACCACCTGCTTCGGTTTGGGCACCCGGGCAGTATCACAGCCCACACAAATGATGAACTCTTTATGTTTATGGAAATTACTTTTCTCGCTTCGAAAAACAATCAATTGATTCAAATTATTATCATTACAATTATTGTCATTATTAATACTATTATTATTATTACTATTATTGTCATTATTATTATTATTATTATTATTATTATTATTATTATTATTATTATTATTATTATTATTATCATTTTCCACATTATTCACCCTCTTTTATATTTATACAGCGGCTCGTCTTTGGTGGAAATTCGACTGTATCTAAACGTACTCGAGTCACTGCCCGACTGAAAATTGAATGCTTCCACCAAACACGAATGCTGAAGCAGTTTTTCTGAAACCACGCGCCCCATTCAAACTGGCTGCCTTCAACGTTCGCACACTTATGCAGGTCGGACAACAGATAGGGCTGGCTATGGCTTTGGAAAGTCTTGATATTGATGTTTGTTGTCTATCCGAGACCCGTATTCAAGACTCTGGCGAAGTACTACAAATTCGATCTCCATCTGTCGCTTCGAAAAGCTTGTTTTACGTGCGCTTATCCGGGGACCCTGTGGCATCCAACTCTTAAAGCACTACAAACCACCTGGCCCAGATGACTTACCTCCGGCTCTTTTTAAAGATGGTGGTGACTTTTTGACTAAGGAATTGACGACGTTGTTTGCAAAGGTTTGGGAACTAGAGAGTGTACCAACGTCATGGAATGAGTCGATAGTTGTCCCTATCTTTAAAAAGGGTTCACGTCGTTCCTGTAACAACTATCGTAGGATAAGTCTACTTCCGATTGCGTCCAAGCTATTGGCTTCTGTCATACTTCGTAGGTTGTTCAAAACCCGAGAAAGATTGACTCGCGAGGAGCAGGCTGGGTTTCTTTCTGGTCGAGGATGTATTGATCATATCTTTACCCTCCGCCAAATGTTAGAACACCGCCATACTTATCAAAGACCAACAATCGTAGTGTTTCTTGACATCAGGGCTGCCTTCGATTCGTTGGACAGGACTGTTCTCTGGGATTGCCTATTGAAGAAGGGTGTGCCTGAGAAGTTTATTAACATCCTAAAAGCCCTATATAAAAACACCTCAGACAGAGTGAGGGCATACAACCACCTCTCTCTATTGTTCCATTCGAGCAGTGGGGTTAGGCAGGGTTGCCCAATCTCACCATTCCTCTTCAACTTTGCCACCGACGACATTCTGGAAACAGCTCTGATGGATGTAAGTAATGGTGGTGTGGATCTGTTGCCTGGAGAAAGACTTCTCGACCTTGAGTATGCGGATGATATTGTCTTACTGTGCGATAATGCCCAAGGCATGCAATCCGCACTTAATCAGTTGACAATCAGTGTCCGTAGGTATGGTATGTGCTTTGCACCTTCGAAGTGCAAAGTACTTCTACAAGACTGGCAGGACTCCAATCCTGTACTCACCCTGGATGGTGAGCAGATAGAAATAGCCGAGAAGTTCGTGTATCTGGGTAGCTGCATAAGTGCTGGTGGTGGCGTGAGTGATGAGATCAATGCATGTATAGTGAAAGCCAGGGCAGCTTAAGCCAATCTGGGCCATCTTTGACGCCTTCGTGATGTCAGTCTGGCTGTAAAAGGTCGGATCTACAACGCGTCGGTGAGATCAGTTTTGCTCTATACTTGTCAAACCTGGCCTCCTCGAGTTGAGGATGTTAGACAACTCTCTGTGTTCGATCATCGTTGTCTCTGAAGGATTGTTGGCATCCAGTGGCAACACCATGTCAGTAATGCAGAGGTTCGGCATCGTGTGTTCGGGCACAGAGATGATAATTCAATTGGTGTCACCATTTTGAAACATCGACTATGGTGGCTTGCATATGTTCTACGAATGTCGTCCCAGAGAACTCCACGTCGCGCATTATTTGCCGACGCTGGGACTGGTTGGAAAAAGCGGAGAGGTGGTCAGTGTATGACATGGTGTCGTGGTATGAAAGAAAGCTCCAAAGGGCTGGCTTCTGTTGGTCCCCCATGACTCCCTGGCTGGGGTCCGAGAGATGGTGCAGCACAGTGACTAGAGACGTTATCAGATATGGCTCAGAATATAAGCCAGTGGCGATCCTGCTGCAACCTTCCCATACTTTTTTCATAAAAAAATGGTTGTTTCTTTCTTAACTGAAAGATTTTTTATGATTGTACCTTTCCGTTCCCTCGTTACTACCACACTACCTTACACCAATCTCTTCGTTATTGTTCTGTTTTTCTTTTGCGCTCCTTAGTTTTTTTTCTATTTCTCTTCGAATTCTCATTGTTTTGTGTGGCGCATATATATTGGGGCTCTCTTGTACCAGTATTCATGTGTTCAAATAAATAAATAAATAAATAAAACGATTTCGCCTTCGGACTTTGGGCAAGCCCGAACACCACGTTAAGGTAGCAACAACGGTCGGGGTCCGTGCAGTCACTGACAACTGGACTTAGCCATATTTGTAGGTGTAGACTACCTGGTTGGGGTCCGTGTGGTTATCATAATCAATGTTTAGAGACTTTAAATGACATGGCTCAAAATCGTTTGCAATAAGTGCAGATGCATTAATTTTCTGTTGTCCCCCAGGTCCTGAGATTTTAAATTCCTCGCAAATTTTCTTTGTTTTTATTTCACTGATTTATGTTTTCTTGTCGAGTCGTATTTTCGATCTTCTTTTCTATTACCACTGCTATTGCTACTACCTCTAATATTCTGGAATTCGACCACATATCTCTGTCCTGGTGGAATATGGCAACTTGGACCGATGTATATACGTACAAGTCCTACGTTGTGACTGAGTGGTTTAAGTAGCCAGATATAACAATGAGCATTTTACTGAATTTTAAATTAACAATATATAGTTTCTATAATCTTAAATGCGGCTGATCCAACTTTTGTTTTGTGGTAACTGGTTGAAAATACTAATTTTATGTTTCGGTAGTTATTTTATATTATTAATTGGATTCAGGTAATATCATTTCCAGTCTTGTTTTATTTAGGGTGTATCGGACTCTGACTCCTCTGTTCGTCCCTCAGCCTTACAATGTGATAGACTTTTAAAGGAAATTATCATGGAGACTGAAGTTTGTGACTTAACAGATATTGTCTTATTACTGAAAGAACGTATTTACACGAACAATCCGTATACTCGTCAGTTTATTGTTTCTTGGGTAAGTCATATGGTGTATTGGTTATCTTCAAAAGCAATTTTCTTCCTTACTTACTAAGTTCACTAGGTATGGGCAGTCCTTAAGCCATCAGCTTTTTGGGTTTATCATGGCTGTTCTTGTATTTGAATTATTACCCACTAGATTACAGTGATAGAAGAACAATATGAAATATAGCAAAATCTTACATCCATATAAAGTGTTATGTCATTCAGCAGATATGATTTCAGGAGAAAAAACAGGTATAGGAGCGGAATTAAAAAATCTTCCTAAAACCTTATTTAAGGAGTGAAGGAATTCACACCGATAGTTTGATGTGTATTATATCGCCCATGTTCCAAGACACTTATTATGTTCACTAATTCTATGTTTTCTGGTTCCAATAACCTCATGAGCTGTACTGGTGGACAGGTCTGATAGTACGGTGTCTCCGAACGTACTCATATTTTAGCTTACATAAGTAGTCCATTCCTATTTACGAATTTTTCATATCCTTACCTATGCATAGTATTAAAAAGCGAAATTCGAACTGGAATTACGAATAAACTTTTATCCCTTTCGAAGCTACACTAAACTATCACTTAAGGGTAATGAACTTCAGTAATACTTCCATGCAAGTTTCCGTTATTATAAAGTGGGCCAGTATCCAATATCGTATTTATAGTACATCGATTGACAGATCTTCAGCTGGTCAAAAAAGATGTTAGAAGTGTAGTTTGGTAACTTTTGTATAATTTAAGGAACTGATCGTTTTGATACATTTTCACGTTTAAGCATTGGTAGTCAATTAGCACATAGTATAAGTTAACACATACAACATCGTCTTTTTTGGGTGCTTCGGCCATAATTTCCAAATTTTCATCAGATTTTTTTTGGTTTTTTAAGTGCAGTGATAACAAGAAGCTAAATAATTACAGATAAGATATAAACGAAATTGAAAAAAGTAAAATCTAATGTCTCTGTAAATCACCAAAACGTTTCAAACTGCCCAGTGGATCATTTATTTTTGTAATAATAGTTGTTTGAAGGGCGAACAAGGACTCTCAACCTCTTTTGCTCACGGATAATAACTTTGCCGATATTATTTCGTGTCCGATTGCTGAAAAGCAACATATAGAATGCTAAGTAGTCCTTTGTATACTTGAATTAGCAAACATCTTTGGAAGATGATCAAACTGCGATATACTTTCCCACTGAGATATTGATGACATGTGAACGCCCCTTGATTTTTACTAAATTATGACTGTCTCTTCACTTTATCCATAAATTAGTTTGTCATCATCACTAGATAGGATGAATTTCTGCTCATTGTAGAGATATTTCGGAAATTCTTAACTTCAGTTTTATAACGTGATAGTGTAGTACAAATCATTTCTGAGCATATCATTGCTTAGTTATTATTTCATATGGGTTATGATAACAGTTGTATTTACTTTAAGTGTGTCGAATCCATTAGCATCTTGAATCTGCCAGCTAATTTTACGAATATAGTTTTCAATAATTTCTCATCAGGTTCTACAATTATAAATCCAGATTAATAATCCGTAAAATTGGCCAGATTTAAGGCAAAATACATCATTTGGAAATTGTAATATGTGAATCAGGAATTGTTTGTTATATAAATAAAATCGTTAATTTATATAACAAACAATTCCTGATTCACATATTACAATTTCCAAATGATGTATTTTGCCTTAAATCTGGCCAATTTTACGGATTATTAATCTGGATTTATAATTGTAGAACCTGATGAGAAATTATTGAAAAGAATATTCTTCGTTCATACAATTGTGTTTTTAATATAATGGGAATTTTTCAGCGAATATAGTTTTTTTAAATTCTACGCATATTTCACCTTGTTGACCAGTTTAAACCCTTAATAGTTATGATACTGCGGGTTAAAATACAGGTTTACTTTTCGTTAGTAACGTTTTATGTCAAGCAAAAGCCAGTACACGATTGAGTGAATAATTTCTGTTTTTATACTTTAATACATGTTAGGTGTTAAGAGACTGGTTTATTAAAACTGAAAGAAACCCAGTAATATTAACGTGATTTATTGATAACCTTTCTATTAATCAGATCACTACCTTATATGCTATACCTGGACTAAAAATTTCTGTTTACTTGCCGCAATTATTGGATGGGCTTTTCCGTATACTTGGCGATCCGAATCCGGATTTACGAAGACAGTAAGAATGATTGTTGTTTTATGTTTTAAACAAGTGTTTTTATTTTTACCTGTTTTAAAGTGGGATTTCGAAAATTCTTAATTTGAACTGTACTGAAAAAATAGGCATTCTAAGCAAATATGATCCAAGTGAGTTACAAATACTATCAGATCTTCAGTGCTGACGGAGTTTGCAATGTAACTACCAAGACAAGTGATTAGAGCTTTGTGTGTCGTATAGTATTCAACGTTGGATGATCAGTAACAGGACGTATAGCTCTAGACATAGATCTCAACCTTGCCTACTGTAAAAGTATAGTTTGAACAAGAATGAGAGATAATTTTCCGTGGAATCAGACCTACCTCATTCAGATTTGCGATGTTTTCGATTACAACTTGTAGGTAAGTGAATCTAATCCAGTTCTCAAAAGGTCGGTTTATTGGCAGTTTATATCCCACTGTTTGCGAAGTGTGGGTTTCTTTGAGTTTGGAGATACTTTTCGCGAATAAGTTCCCACAGACATATGATCTTTTTTTAAACTACTCGAATTATGCGCTTAGTTGTATTTCAGTAATGCCGAACCTCTGTATTTCTAACATGGTGTTGCCACTGGATGCCAACAATCCTTCAGAGACAACGATGATCGGACACAGAGAGTCGTCTAACATCCTCAACTCGAGGAGGCCAGGTTTGACAAGTATAGAGCAAAACTGATCTCACCGACGCGTTGTAGATCCGACCTTTTACAGCCAGACTGACATCACGAAGGCGTCAAAGATGGCCCAGATTGGCTTAAGCTGCCCTGGCTTTCACTATACATGCATTGATCTCATCACTCACGCCACCACCAGCACTTATGCAGCTACCCAGATACACGAACTTCTCGGCTATTTCTATCTGCTCACCATCCAGGGTGAGTACAGGATTGGAGTCCTGCCAGTCTTGTAGAAGTACTTTGCACTTCGAAGGTGCAAAGCACATACCATACCTACGGACACTGATTGTCAACTGATTAAGTGCGGATTGCATGCCTTGGGCATTATCGCACAGTAAGACAATATCATCCGCATACTCAAGGTCGAGAAGTCTTTCTCCAGGCAACAGATCCACACCACCATTACTTACATCCATCAGAGCTGTTTCCAGAATGTCGTCGGTGGCAAAGTTGAAGAGGAATGGTGAGATTGGGCAACCCTGCCTAACCCCACTGCTCGAATGGAACAATAGAGAGAGGTGGTTGTATGCCCTCACTCTGTCTGAGGTGTTTTTATATAGGGCTTTTAGGATGTTAATAAACTTCTCAGGCACACCCTTCTTCAATAGGCAATCCCAGAGAACAGTCCTGTCCAACGAATCGAAGGCAGCCCTGATGTCAAGAAACACTACGATTGTTGGTCTTTGATAAGTATGGCGGTGTTCTAACATTTGGCGGAGGGTAAAGATATGATCAATACATCCTCGACCAGAAAGAAACCCAGCCTGCTCCTCGCGAGTCAATCTTTCTCGGGTTTTGAACAACCTACGAAGTATGACAGAAGCCAATAGCTTGGACGCAATCGGAAGTAGACTTATCCTACGATAGTTGTTACAGGAACGACGTGAACCCTTTTTAAAGATAGGGACAACTATCGACTCATTCCATGACGTTGGTACACTCTCTAGTTCCCAAACCTTTGCAAACAACGTCGTCAATTCCTTAGTCAAAAAGTCACCACCATCTTTAAAAAGAGCCGGAGGTAAGTCATCTGGGCCAGGTGGTTTGTAGTGCTTTAGGAGTTGGAGTTCCTTGCGGACTTCCTCCTCGTTTGGTGGATTAGTCGTCACCGGCCATGGAGGGCAGGACAGTCTGACCGATGTTTCCGGAGCAGCAGGCCAGTTGAACTGCCCTTCGAAAAATTCTGCCCATCGTCCAAGACGTCGATGGATGTCAATGATTGGCATCACATCATCCTCGCAGATTGTTTCACTCACACCAGACGTCTTGCTGCCAGTGGCTCGGATGATTTGGAAGAGCTTCCGGTAGTTAGCAGATGCAGCTGCTGCTTCCAGCTCGTTAGCACGCTCCGACCACCAGGCTTCTCGGTCCTTACGCAGGCTTTGCCCAATTTCATTACGTAACATCCTTCGTTTATGGTCAAACTCACGGTCACCCGGAGTAGACTGACGGGTCTCGATTAGTTGTAAGGAGCCTGAAGAAACCCAGTGCTTAAAAGCGGGACGTTTCGCGAACTCCCAAATGACTGTACCCGCTATTTTCATGGCGTCATGCAATTGCAACCAATGCTCATCTATACTTTTCGGTGGAGTGGTATCCAGCCTAGAAGCTAGCTCGGATCGATACTTACTAGCAACAGAAGTTGCAACCAACTTGCTGACATCAATCCTTTGGTGGCGGTCACTTCGTTGTCCATTGAAAAGTAAGGCAAGATTGGGGCAGACCAAGGCATGGTCAGAGTCCAGATAGGTACTCCAAAAGGAGCGGCAGTCTCGTACACAACCACGCCAGCGGTAGCTGATTGCGATGTGATCAATCTGAGTCCAGGCTTGAGATGCAGAGGGAGGACGCCAGGTGGCACATCGGCGATGACTGTGCCGAAAGTTAGTGCTAGCCAGAAACAGGTTGTGGTCTGTGCAAAGTTGCAGTAGACGGTCCCCGTTATCTGACCTGCGACCAACGAGTCCCCATCGGCCACCTAAACGACTCTCTTCTGTGCCTAGACGCCCGACCTGAGTATTCAAGTCTCCGGCTAGTACTACAATATCTGTCGAACGCACTTTCTGTAGAAGAACAGATAACTGGTGGTAAAACTCATCCTTGATTACATCCGGGCTGCAATCTGTTGGAGCATAGGCGGAGATGACGAAGAGACATCGTTTCTCATGCCGATTTCTCCTCACTTTGATGGAACTTTCTAATCTAACAGCACATAACTGACTGTTAATGGGGATCCAATCGACTAGTGCTGCCTCAGCTCTAGCGCTTAGTGCGACACCAACGCCAGCAAGACCAGACGAAGATGCCACAGGGTCCCCGGATAAGCGCACGTAAAACAAGCTTTTCGAAGCGACAGATGGAGATCGAATTTGTAGTACTTCGCCAGAGTCTTGAATACGGGTCTCGGATAGACAACAAACATCAATATCAAGACTTTCCAAAGCCATAGCCAGCCCTATCTGTTGTCCGACCTGCATAAGTGTGCGAACGTTGAAGGCAGCCAGTTTGAATGGGGCGCGTGGTTTCAGAAAAACTGCTTCAGCATTCGTGTTTGGTGGAAGCATTCAATTTTCAATCGGGCAGTGACTCGAGAACGTTAAATAGAGCCGAATTTCCACCATAGGCGAGCTGCTGTATAAGTTGAAAAATAAGGATACACAGAGTGGGAATAAAAAAGAGTGAATAAGTGACGTGGTTGAAAAAAAATAAAAATAAAAGTGAATGTTATCAAATGTGTATGTGTTGTTTGAATAATAATAGGAGTTTGAGCAGTATATCAAATAATCATTGTCATTTCATTTTAATTGCGTGCGGGCTATGATACTGTCCGGTTGCCCAGACCGAAGCAGGTGGTTTTCTTAGGGTCCACACCCCGAGCCTTCGACCTAAAGGTCCGATCCGCAAGGCAGTGGAGCAACCTGAGGAGATGCAGTCCCACGGTAGCCGGTGACCAACGATTGGTTCATACGCCATTTGTTCCTTCAGGATACTGAAGCCCATGTGCACCATTGGTTTTGGATCAGGGTTCTCCAACTCCCCTAGGTAAACCCTCCGTGTCCACCAATCCAATCAAAGCGCCGGAGTTCCGCTTTTCGTCCTCTCAATTTTGTAGACAACACCCCCACCAGGAGAAGGCAGTGAATAGAACTTCCCTGGCAGATGCTATATACGCGTGGCCATGTGAGGGCATTTCGAGAGGGAGAGCGGACTTTCCCCACTCTCGGCTGTACTAGGGCAAAAGTACTCTAAGTATGACTTGTGTTTGTATTAATCAACAAAATGTCCTATTACTGTTGAATACAAAATAATTTTTTCTTATTCACAATCATCAGATCAGTTATCGCTGTTACCAACACAGTGTTTTCTAAAGTGTATTTATAAATACGTTATTAAAGTGTGTTTAGTTTAGGGTAGAGGGTATTTTCGATTGATAGATTGTGAATTTCTTCCGTTTAGATGCAAAGTGAATCTGTACTAGTTGAATCACCATTGAATATTTGAGCGTAGAACCTAACTTGAAAAATGTGAACAAAATAATGCTCATTCTATGTAATATAATGCTAAATAATCCTTCCATGTTATCGAGTATAATGCCTGTCTAACTACATAGTTCGACGAAGCTTTAGATATTCTGTTGGCAAAATTATTTCATGTAGTAACTTGTATTATTCTGTACTTTTTTGTTTCTATTTAACTTCAACCATGCTCGTATAGTGTTTGACCCTAAGATGTATTTTAACAGTCTTTTTTTCATATTTTGTCTTTTGTACCAATTCATTTACATTTAAGCTGGGTTTTAGTACTTGAATAATTCCCAAGTTGTTTTCACCACTAGTCGATATTATTTGCACCAATTGATCAGTAGATAGTGGCCAGTTTCATGTTGTTTAGTCCTTAGAGAATAGAAAATTCTAGCTGTTGGTTTGCAGTTTGGTCACTAATCAGATTGACTCGAAATTGAGGTAAATATTGCTTAATATTCGATGAAATTGGTTAGTGTAAACTTTTTAGTCCTGCAAGAGGTCTATCCTGGTCCGAATAACCTAGTGGTAACTTTTGTGACTGTGACACATGGTTCAGGTTCTACATGTTATAACGGAACAAATATTGCAGACGTTGGGACTAGTTTTTCAAACTTATTAATTATAATTTTGTCGTATAGTTACTGATTAATTCAATTACTACGTATGCATATTCCACTTATCATAAGCTTTTGGTTTATACGTTAACTACTGTTGTACGGTTTATTTTTTTTCAAGACTTTTTTCTAGTCCATTACTCACAGTCTATTCACAGTCACTTTTGGCTTGTTCATGTATATTTGTTATTTTTAACTTCATGGTATGATTCGGTGCGGTATGTCTGTATATAAACCGCCTCTGTTTAAAATATAAATATCGTAGAGGTTGGGTGCTGACGTTTGGACGCAAAGGTGGGGATATAATCAGAAGCTTACGAATAGTAGATCAATGTAGACTTAGCTTAATGTCACTAGTGCTGGTTGAATGTGTAATTGGCCAAGTCCGAGATTAAGCTATCGAGTAAATAATAGACTAAATTAGGATCATTATTCTGGTTGGTGACTTGGCACATGACATTCGTCAGTGATCACACGACATAAATCCTACGAAGATTCCAGATATCTCTTGCTGAAGAGTCCCAAGTAGTGCAAAACCCAGGTCCAGTAGTTTCTACCGACTGCCTCTAACCAAATAACATAACGGTACTTAAAAAGATAAAGTTTCCTGATGTCTCACTATACTTTAATCATTTTTCTGGAATCCTTTGGCTGATATTTCGAGGCTTTAGGTGGATTATACCATTATTATGTGTGTCATTCAGTATCGTTGGGGGGGGGTTTATGTGCTCTCACACACTGATTAAACTCTAAAGTTTACTAAAACTAGGCATTTAGTAACTCTTAATTCCTCACTACATACTTTAAAGTATTCGATGGATTTTATGTGGCTTGATGGGTTTGAATGATAATTTTATGTGCTACTATGTTTAAATTCCTCACTTTTACTTCTGATTTTGTTTTGCTTTAGATGTGAAATGCTTTTAACAGATTTACTTAAAGAGATTGAAGCTAATCCAAATGAAATTGCATTAGATACAATGATCAACAGTTTAATTGTGCACTGTCGACTTTCAGCAACAGGTTAGCTGTTTGTTTAATGTTTCAATGTGTAACTCAAGGCGATTTCTTATATTAATAGATACTGGCTTTTTATCACGTATTACCATTTTTGAACACAACTGGTTAAATAGAGTTGTTAGTTCTCACCATCTACCTAGTAATTTAAGAAATTGTACTAACCAGTTTCATCCTGTTAGTTTGGACGTGGTTCTCATATAGTAGTGGAACACACACTTATCAGATTAATTCATTCGTTTGATGCAAAGTCAAATAGGTTTGTTGATCCTTATTTGACCCAATAATAACTATATCAGATAAACCTGACCATCTCAGGTAATGAATAAATATCAGTTCAGTGAAGCTTTTTTATAGATACTCTTCAAAGTTTGTTTTATAAAATCTATATTCAAATCAAACATATACTTTGGCTGATTTACTCAAGTTAGTTTTCATCAGTTGTTTGGACTATATGAACCTGGTTGTATTGCAAGTATTTATGTCTACGGTTTCACTGGGAGTCTGTATTCTAAGTTTATTTTTGAAGAAGTTCAGGTAAGCAGATTTTATCAAAAAACCTATGATAATTATTTTGTCATCCAACTTGATACACGATCGGACATTTTACATTTCTTTAATATTTTTTTTTTTTTAATTGTTGATCTAAACCACACTACTGTTCATTAAAGTTTACCAGAGCGTTATGGACTGAGATATCCATGCATGTTATCACTCACCGTCAGGACTTAGTTTTTATTATTCTGATGAAAATCATGCTTATCATAACATTCGATTCAACCCCAATTCAGTATTGCATTTAAGCATATTATTGTTAAAATATTTGGGTTCTTATAACTGTTGAACCCGTTTATCTGCATCGTTTTGGTCACCCGATAGTGATTGATATCGATATTATGCTTATCGCTAGTAATTAGATTTTATCTTTGAAAGAGTGACTACTGAAACAAGTGGTACGAGAGTAAAATGTGTTAGATTTGCTATCATATATGCAGATGTAATTTTCAGTACTTGTAGAATCATTTTTTGTTAACAGTTAACAGAGTGTGCCTTGTCATTTAAATAAGTTATATTGATCAATAGGATTCGATTGATTTTGAGAACTAGGTAATCATCTTGATTTTATTTTGATCGTATATCCTTGTTTTGTTATGCTTTTTACCTTTTTAATTACATAACTGCAACTAAATGAAATACTTCCTGGCTTGTTTGTATTTATCATCAAGAAATCCCTTAATTTTCCGTCCACTGGCCCTCAAGATGCCCTGGTACGGTCGAGTCAGTCAGCAACAACTTGGATTTTGTACGTAGGTACATCAGTTCGAGTTGCCATACCACATTAGCACAGGGATGCAGTTGTCGATTCAAATCCCATAGTGGTAGAGGTAGTAAAAGTATAAGCAGTAATCGGAAAGATTAGGGTTTGAGGATGTTATTCAAGGAGTATAGTTTAGTGAAATAAATTTGGAAAGAGAAAAAGAAGAAGGACATAAAGAATACAGAAGATTAGAATTTGGGAGAACACAAAGGGTGGATGCACCTGCGCCATTGCAAACGATTTTGAGCCATGTCATTCAGGATCATCTCGCGGTCCCCAACCAGGTAGTCTACACCTACCAACATGGCTCAGTCTACTTGTCAATGGCTCCATGGACTTGTGCCATGTTTTGGTCTGGCCACCCCTACCTTTCTTCCAATCTACTCCTATACAACAAAACATCGCACATCGAGGCAGTCGGTGGTATTGTTGAGGCTAATATTTTAGACATAGTATTAGTTAAATTGATTCCTCTGTGATTGTCACAAGAGGATTTTTGTCCTTTCTTGTAGTCTGAGACGACCAGCGATCAAAACATTTCAGATGAGACCACGTCCATTTTCCAGATTTCAGCTAAGATTTCAATTAATCTTACTGCTAAAACTGGACCACCATCCTTAAAAATCTCATGGGTTAATCCATCAGGCCCTGCTGTACTCCCTCGCTTTAGATTACTGATAGCCTTTTCAACCTCACTAAGATTCGGAGGTAGATAATGGGTGACTGAAGTGTGGCTTAAGGCCAGTTGAACTGTCTCCTAAAGTGTTCTGCCCATTGGTCCAATCTCCTGAATTGAGAGTGAATAGTGGTCCCGTCTTTTACTGAAACAGTTCATTACCCGTTTCCTTGATAAGTCTGAACAGTTATCTACTATTACCTATTGCTGCTGCCTTTTCCATCTCTTCTGCTTTCTCTACCCACCACTGCTCGCGATCATTATGTAGGCCTTTTATCAGCCTATGTTTAAGCTGCCTCCGCTCCTCATCGTGTTCGGAGTCAGATGTGATGAATGTCCGAACATCTACCAGTTCTGTAGACGCAGCTGAAATCCACTAATTTTTCTTAACTTTTTGCTTCAAGTTACTAGTAGATATCACAGCTGTTTTCACAGCTTTTTGGATATCATGCCACGCTACTTTGAAGTAAATATCACTTCATGGTTGACGAACTCCTTCTTCAGTCGTTCCTGAAATATATTTTTAACTTTAAGGGGTTTTCTTGCTGTAATTTTTCTACGTTCAGTGAGACACAGACAAGTGCGTGCTCGAACTAGAGGATGTTCTAAGTCTAAACATGTGCTCCAGAATGAGAGACAGTCTTTAATGGAGCCATTGGAACTATGGCTAATGCCAGTGTGATCTATTTGAGTCCATCGATGAGTCGATTGTGGGGGTCACTACATCATACAATGTTTCTTTTTTTCTTAAGGTTGGTGTTTACCAGAAATAGAAGATTATCTGAGCATAGTTGCAACAGACGATCGCCGTTGTCTGTTCACTGAGCCTCAACAGTGTAAGATCCACCTAAGTGCCTTTCAGTTTCGTTTAGTCTACTTTAGCATCAAAATCGTTTGTCACTATTACTAAATCAGAGCGTTTAACCTTTCGAGGAAGTTTGGATAGCTTCGTATAAAATTCATCTTTAACTTTATCCGAGCTACAATCAGTGGAAACGTAGGTAGAGACAACGAAAAGGCGATGGATTGTATCCTTATCACGATTGATTGATCACTGGGTGGTGATCAATGTCATGCTTGTCTAGTCCGTATTAGTGCAGATCGAATGCTATCGATCATGTTGCGATGTGGCCACCAGTCTAGGTGACTCGACACTGCGGGCACTATGTATTGAGATTTAGATGGTGGTTGGAGGTAGTCAACAGGAAACCCTGGACCCGGGTTTCGTGCTACTTGGCACTCGTCAGCAAGGTGTACCTGTAGTCTTGAGGGAACTGGTGCTCCCTGGCGGATTCGATCTCGTGTCACCCAGCTTCACAGTCAGAGACGTTACCACTGAGCTATCCGAGCCGTGACTAGACAAGCATGACATTGATCACCACCCAGTGATCAATCAATTGTGATTACATCTCAGTCCTACAGGAGGTTAGTCACGGCTCGGATAGCTCAGTGGTAACGTCTCTGACTGTGAAGCTGGGTGACACGAGATCGAATCCGCCAGGGAGCACCAGTTCCCTCAAGACTACAGGTACACCTTGCTGACGAGTGCCAAGTAGCACGAAACCCGGGTCCAGGGTTTCCTGTTGACTACCTCCAACCACCATCTAAATTGTATCCTTATCTTTTCGAGTTCTCACTGTCCCGTTTAGTTGAACAGTGCACAGGAGACTGTCGATTGGAACTCAGTCTGATAACCTGTTCTGCTTTTGAACTTAATGCAATACCTACATCAGTGAGGCCACAGCAATTAGCACTGGGATCTCCAGATACTCAAAGGGTAAATTGTGCCGGTTCTTTATATTGACAATGTGAGGTCAAATGAATGACTGTACTTAGATCCTGTAATCGCATTTCGGAGGCGCAGCATACATTGACGGCGCGAGATTCTAGAGTCCTAGCCTAAGGAGCCTGTTTTCTTATTGGACACAAGCTTCGAACATTCAAAGCTCCAGCATGTAGTTTGGTGTTGTTTCAGGAGACGAGGAATAAAATTTTGTGGAGTCAAATCATTAGCATTGGTGGCCCGTGGTGATAAACACATATGAGAATGGTTAGTCGTAGGGATGGAAGAATTACTGATAGGTAAGGAAGGAATTCGATCGTCAACAAGATGATCTCTGGTGGTGATAGAAGTATGAGGGCGGTTATCGCTTCCCGATTACCCACCCCGTGGAAGGATATTTGTTCTTGAAAGGCCTGAAAATGAAACTTAATTAGTGGTGGTCTTAGCGACCTCGGGGCGTAACCGCAGAGCTAAAGAGACAGTTATTTGAGGCCGGTCGCCTACGACCTTTTTGTTATTGATGCGTTAGTTCCTCACTTCACAAGGTCATACCAGCGCCAGAAACGGAAATCCATGTGGTAAGGTGAGGTGTGACATTTCAGGGTAGACTATTCCTAACACCTTTCTTCCGTTGTGAGAAGACAGCATCGTTGCAGTGCTGGTTGCCCAAGGGAAGCACCTTACTGCTGTCACACCCTCGTCGCCCTCGGGCCTCAAGTTACTGCTTTTAGTCTTACCGTTCTTCAACTGATCCGCCTGGGATGGTAGAACCTAAAAGAACGTGTGTCCTAGCCAATATAGCTCAGTTGAGTCATCACAGTAGGCCGACCCGGTCACTACGTCAAGATAACAGCTACGGTAGGCGATTGCCAAAGAAGTCCTAATCACTACCTTCTTGCGGCGGGTGTGTTGTTTACGAAATTGAGACGGCGAAAAACGAATGTCCTTTCCTAACCGGGTTGATTGGTACGCGGAGGTTGCACCTAGGAGAACAAGAAAACCCTGATTCCAAACTAATGGTGAACATGAACTCCTGGATCCTGGGGGAGCAAATGACGTATAAACCTGTCGTTGGTCGCCGGCTACCATGTGATTGCATCTACTAACGTTGCTTTACTACCTTGTGAACTAGACTTTTAGATCAAAGGCTCGGGAAGTGGTCGCCTGAGAAAACCACCTTCTTCGGTGTGAACACCCGGAGTTCATTCCAGCGCACAAAAACCAAATGATGACTGCAACTAGAAAGGTTAATCACTCCTTAATTCCCATTTTCGTGAATCATACTTGAAACTATATATTAATATTTGTTTTTATCATATATTAGGTCACTTGCCTATTCCTTTATTCTTATTTAGTATATTCCTTTATTCTTCAACTTCTACAGCAGCTCGTCTATGGTGGGATTGTCTATTGAAGAAGGGTGTGCCTGAGAAGTTTATTGACATCTTAAAGGCCCTATATACAAACACCTCAGACAGAGTGAGGGCATACAACCACCTCTCTCCATTGTTCCATTCGAGCAGTGGGGTTAGGCAGGGTTGCCCAATCTCACCATTCCTCTTCAACTTTGCCACCGACGACATTCTGGAAACAGCTCTGATGAATGTAAGTAATGGTGGTGTGGATCTGTTGCCTGGAGAAAGACTTCTCGCCCGTGAATATGCGGATGATATTGTCTTACTGTGCGACTATACCCTACTCGTCCAATCCGCCCTTAGTCAGTTGGCAATCAGTGTCCGTAAGTATGGTATGTGCTTTGCACCTTCTAAGTGCAAAGTACTTTAACAAGACTGGGAGGACCCTGAACCTGCACTCTGGGTGTATTGATCGAGAACACAGCTGGGGATAACCATTTCATTTATACATAATTACAGAGTTCTTGGATAAAATGTGAAAATCATACGTTCAATACTTAATTTGCAAATTCCCTATCAATTGTCTCAATCTTCTTCATTCCTTCACTGTTATTAAAATTATTCTCTGTTCCTGTTCTCTTCGATTCGATCTTATCAACCTTCTGCTGCCCAGGCATTCCACTTCTGATTGCTTTACATACTACTTATGTCGACATAAGTAGCATACACCACAACAGTGTGAAAAACTTTCTGGCATCAGTCATCATCCATCATCAGTATTACAGGCAATAAGAAAAGATTGCATTAATTAGGGTTTACATGGAATACACCACATAGGTAGTGAGCAGTTAGTAGTTGAGGGGATCGTGCATCTGAGTAGCTATGTAAGTGCTGGTGGTGGCATGAATGGTGAGATCAATTCACGTATAGTGAAAGGCAGAGTGGCTTATGTTAATCTGGCCCATCTTCGGCGCCTTCGTGATGTTAGTTTGGCTGTAAAAGGCTGCATCTACATTGCGTCCGTGGGACCAGATTCGCTCCATGTTTGTGAAACCTGACCTCTCCGAGTTTATGATGTCAGGCGACTATGTGTTTAATCACCGTTGTCTCTGAAGAATTGCTGACTTCCAGTGGCAACACTATTTTAGTATTGCGGAAATTCGGCATCGTGTGTTCGGGCGCAGCGATGATAATTTAATTGGTATCAGTATCTTGAAATATCGACATCGGTGGCTTGAACATGTCCGACAAATGTTATCCCAGCGAATTCCACATCGTGTATCATTTTCTGACACGGACTGGTTGGAAAAAGCGGAGAGGTGGTCAGTGTATGACATGGTGTCGTGATGTGAAAAAGAGCTGTGCAGGACTGGGTTCTGTTGGTCTTTCACTACAGTGGCTTGAGACATGGCTCAGAATAGGAGCCAGTGACGATCTTTCTGTAACTTTCTTTTGCTTTCTTCCTATAAGAGTAATTTCTTTAACTGAAAGAATTCTTTCTGGTTGTACTTTTGTTAACTGAACTGCCCCTCCCGTTATTATTACTTCACTCTCATACACTAATTCCCATTCGTCTTTGTTCTTTTTCATTATATCTTCCTTTCTCTATCTCTTCACATCCTTGTTTTTATTGTGTGGCGCATATATCTTTTAATGCCCCATTGAGCCGATGTTTATATGTTGTAATAAATAAATAAACCGTAGTACGAATTTTGTCATGGCATAGATTTTTTAGTTGTCATTAAGTACGAAACATTGCGGTATATTTATGCCTATATTGATTATTGTATTTCTGTACTCCTCATATTCTGTGTATTGTTTTTCTTATATATACAGTACCATGGATTTTTTCGTGTTACTTTCACTAGCTTGTGCTTTGGCCGATATTGCTTTGAAGCCATCATCTCCACGTAACTCTCAGTTTTCTAATCTCCTCAATTCATCAATCGTTGTTGATACGTCGGCTCAAAGTATTAGTCTCACACAAACTGCTCAAAACGCTTCTGATTCGTGGTCCTTAAAAAGCGGAAATATATGTAACGCACCAGAACAATCAAAACAACGAGCGGCACTAAAGTGGATAAAAACATTTGTTGAAATAGATCCGCATCATATGCTTCCATATGCTTCAGGAATTATTGGTGCTGTTCTTCCCTGCTTTATGCTCTGTGGACCATCTGATGCTTTACAAGAAAGGAAAGGTTTGTTTTTAACTTTCTATTTTATATAGGTTTATTCAATATCACATTTCTGCCCGTCAATTATTCAATTTTGTATCATTTAGAATATGCTTGGGATATTAAAAATCTTGTAGTCTATCTGTATTACAGTATGGAATTGTTTGTCTCACTCAAACTTAGTAACTATGTACTCTGTAGTATTTCTAAAGATAATAGGTTGAAGTAGGTTAGTTGTATGATTATTGACTCAATGATTCTAACTTTCAATGTGTGTCAGTCATAAACAGTGTAGGAATCAGCATTTGTCATCTTACTTCTTGGTGTGCTTTGTTGTTCGAGTTGTCCTGTTTTTGCATGCTTTATTCTAATTGTTATAGAAGCGTTTTCATAGGTCCTGTAATTTTGTGACTAACACAATGTGCGTTTTAAATATATGCTTTCGTTTAGAACTTGTCGACATAATCTGTCATATGATCAGTTTATCTTGTCTATTAACTGTCTTAATACGTCACAATTTAGCATTTTTAATTTTCTTGAATGTTATCAACTGGCGTTGTCCTTCAAAATGATCGATTTTTATTTTGAGTGCTGTATGTGCCTGTTCAGATGGGCCGTGGTTTTATTCTAGATTTTCTGAAAGCTTATTCCTTTGAGTTTTGCTTACCCCATGGTCCATAAAGTAGTGAAATGTGTACTGAACTTTTTTTTAATTGAAGAAAAGTACTGTCTTTCCAAAGCCGTAACAAGTTAGTTATGTAAGTTTTATATTTATAAATTAGTTTTTGTTTGTAACATAACTAGGTGTTAGTTGGGTTCTTATAAAGTCAAACGAATAAACACACTTCCATGGTGAACAGTAGGATACGGGTATATTTGTTATGGTTTCAAATGACTTCATTTTTCCATTACTGTCAAGCATCATAACAATTCTTCCAAACCATTTATCATAGGTATTTGACCGCGTGATTTTACTGATTCTTCTATCTCATCATCCATCAACTGCATGTGTTTTATAAGTTCCCAGTTATCCTCTTAATGTGACAGAGACTGTTCTCGATTGTAATACAGTAAATCATAAATATATTTTGCAGATTATATGGTTTTCATTTTGTGGTCGTCGTGTATAAAAAGCTAGGTGTGTATCTAGTCATTTTTTAAAATATATACACTGGATAAGCTGAATTTTATCTTTCTTGTTTTAATTATTCTAATTATTATTCGTACGAAAGTTGCTCTCGAGACAGCTGTGTGCATAAACGAAACGCTTTTGAAGGCTGTTAGATTATTCAATTCATGTACTATGAATAATTTGGATTCATGCGAATCAATAGCTCACAGTGCAACGGATTCGCACCGAGTCTCACTGAATTCAGGAAACCAAAGTGAATCGTTAGTCAAGTTGTAAGTTTTGATGTTCTGCATATTTATGTGTTAAGATAAATTCATAACACATTCTAATAAGACTTAAATATTTTTCTAAAATTTGTTTATGATGTTTGGTTGGTAAAATGACTAACTATTTGATAAATCTTCCAACTGAACGCTAGAATCGGTTTCCTATGCTCTTCTAATGACCCCAGGGTAAATCTACACGAGAGTAAAGGCATGAATTATGAAAAGAATGCTTTACTCCAAGGTTAGTTTATGTACAGAAAATCGAGGGTATTTATAGTATTTCAGATGATCTTGGGCTTCTGGAAGGTTCTGGAACCATCCAATCAGAAATGTGACACATGATTCCTGACTTTCTAGGTATTTCTGAAAAATTTCTATTCAATACTAATTAGATGAAGTGCTTTCCAGCGTTTTTAGGGCCCCTCTAAACTTTTTTCGAGGAATAATTTAGATCTCCCCAATACTGCTAGATATGTTTTTCTAACAGCAGGTATTGGCTTACGGAAGCACAATCGCCAGTGCATCCAGAAAATTATTTATACCTTGGTAGGCATGCAAGTTTTCGGATAGTGCATGTGATAAGTGGTTTAAACATTTACTTATCATACACCACTTCTTAACGTCCTTATTATATAAATATGATATGGGTCACAGCATAGGATTTAATTCCAATAATATGGAAAGTTAATTATTGAGTGATCAAGAGCTTTGTGTTCACAAAATTACATTTTGAGATGGAAATTTCAGCAGTAACTATGACGTTTACTTTCCCTTGAATCTTATCACCATATAAAGCATTTGTCTATGATTACAATAATTAATGTATTATTTACAGTCTTTATCTTTATATCCTCCAATCTGTTGTAATCTGACATCTGACAATTCCATAATATTTTAGCACTTGATTGAACTTAATTTATATTCTAGTTTTATAATTTATGTCAGTTATTTTTCGTTTTCTGGAAGAAGATGAAGTGTTAGTTTGATTTATGCTTTGAACGTACATTATTTACCATGGTTTGCTGAATATTGTTTTTAACACTTAAGAATATTTTGACTTGATAAATATTTTGAAATTAGGTTTAAATTTATTATCAACAGTAAAATACACGTTGGGAAACATACTGTAATAAATACCCGTTTTTTTTTAAATTAAAAAGCCACTTGTAACACATTGTAAGATATCATGAACAGAAATTCAGCTAGTGTACCAAGTTCCGCCAGAATAGTCTATATTGTATGGTTGTGATTGAATGCAAGGGTTGCATGTCTTGATATAAGGATTAATGTCAGATTGCTATACATAACTATGATCTTCAATTTCCTGTTAGTCAAGGATATCATTGACAGGCTGTTTTTGTTTAATTTTAAAAAACCTACACAACCATCAAATTCAGGTTCGTGTTACCGGACTGAACTTACTGCACTTTATTTTTTTTACCATGATGTAATAAAGATTCTTTCACATCATCCTACGAATGGCTTCTCTGAGGTTTATTCACTGAACACTTTCCTGGTACTGGCGTAAAACAAGGCAATGACCAGAAGGAATATTTGTTTTGAAAAATTACAAAATAATTATATAATACATATACATAGCCTTCGTCTGGTCTCCAAGTGTTTTTCATGTACTGAAGCTCTTCTCCCTGACTGACGACTGTGGCAGCTTCGACACCACGTTTCGCTACATACTACTTACTAGCAATCTTGTGAGTACCGTCCGTCACACTAGAACATGGGCGAAGTTAAACGAGTAATCAGTTTATAATTTTACTGTACCGCGCAATGTGTCATATATACATTGAGTTGGCATCAGTCAATATACTATAAATCATTCTATAAATTTTTATGAATCATCCAGTTCAGTGACGTAAGATATTGTCAATTGTGTTTAGGAATCTGTCACATAAATAAAAACTCTAGTTTATAGAGAAACCACGCTTCCCATTGTTCTGCAATAGTTTTTCATTTGATTATTTTCCTTTTCCATAAAATTGTGATTTCAGCGACGCGTTTCCTGATGCTTCTTTATAACAGGTTTCCGTGATAGGTTTGTTTGTCTTTAAAAATGATAGCAATATGGGATGTTTGTATAAATCTTCTTTATGAAACCAAACATCCTTGACGACATTACCAAAATATTTTGCCTATACTTTTTATAGTTCACAGGCTGAAAATTCAACTAAACAGTTTACAGACTCATCTCTCAACACCACAACTGATACACTATCCGGTGGACAAAACAATTCACAAATTTTGTGCACAGATGCAATCTTAGAAGCTACTTTTCAACTTCTTAATAATTCAAGTTTATTTACTCGCTTGGCAGCACTACGCTGGATTACTGTACTTGCAGAAGTTTGTTCATCTGATGTTTTTTCTCATGTTGATCGTCTTTTACCAGAAATGCTCAAACTAGTTTCTGATCCTGCTGATGAAGTAAGTTATACAGTGGGAATCAATGAAATTTTGTCTAGAAATGATATCAGCAATTTTGTCTTCATTTCATGCATGACTTTTTAAAATTTATTTTTATAGATGGTGCATTCTACTATTTCATTGATTGGAAAACTCAGTCATCATACTACTGTTGTTGGTAATAATTATCACAACAAAGAATCTGTTATTTTACCTCAAGAACTAGTTAAGTTGCTTCATGATCCGGCTATAGTGAATGGACAGAATAATAGTCAGATTTCTGATTGTTCAATGGAGACTTCATCTCAAGAATCATTACCGTCATCTTCTGCTCCAAATACATTTTGTTTACGATTTCTTTTGGACTTAGTCGAATTGTTTAACAAAGATTCAGAATTATTACGGAAACGTGGAGATATGATTATTACGTAATTAGCTTCATGGGTTGATTTTATTTATATTTCAAGACGAAACAAACTATTGTGTCATGAAAATTTTATCAATTTTTCACAACCAGTGTTGGTTTGAATTACTTAATTTGATGGGAAAAGTGTTTCTAAACAAGATCTTTTCTTCAGTAACAATCCTCATTAGAAACTCGTTATTACCAGACAACATACGCTTGCTTGAAGGCTTCGCAAATGTCGATACTCTCGATAATAATGAAAACACTTTATCAACCAAATAAGAATAGTCTATTGAACAATTTTTCCTTTCAGTGTCAGTCACATGAAATGCTTACTAAGATATGTCCAGTTATCAAAACCATGAATAAGCGTAGTTTCTGTGTAGCAGTATGAACTATTTGTTTTAAATTCATTGGATCTGTGTATGCTTTACCTGAATGGTTGGTCCTACTTCATGATCTGATATCAGTACAACCAATGAATTTGATTTTAACTAAGAAATAACGATCATTTTCCGTTTCTATTTTTCATCAGGTTTGATGTCAAGTGCTTAGTACTGACTTTTGTTGAAATAATGGAGTGTATATTTGTTTGACCCATTTTTTAAGACTTCAATATTAAGGAATGTTTTATTTACATAAGTAGACGGATCATGCGTGCTTGGTCTCTCTTTGATAGGTCGATGTTTTTTCTGCCGTAGAGTATTTACTAAATCTTGTGGAACACATGATCTTCTAATATTTTCAACTGGAATGTTGATTATGTTTACCATATCCCCTTAAAAAGTAATGATTATTAGTCAAAATTTCAGTTAACCTGCGTAGGTATTCAGTATTTGTTTTGATTCCTTAATTTGTAAATGACTTTCATCACAACCCTTTTATTATGTTCTTTTACTTCTGCCCATTATGAATTCGCTAACGTATTTGCTTTTTGCGTTAAACGATCGATTGCTGTGCGATATTCTCACCCATTCTCAATCTACCAGTCAAAACTGCAGAAGGACCCTAATATTCTGTGTGATTTAAATCTGATGTCATTCTATTTACAAAGTACAAAACCATGGTACGCCATAAATGACAAACGCAGTATGTGAATAACAAGGACACAACTGAGTAGCAGGCTTCTGATTAATTTTATGGATGGTAAAATATATAACAACGGTTAATGAGCCAAATAAAAGCGCACAATTAAGTCAATTAAAAAATACCATAAGCCAATCGTGTAATATTAAAATATATTTATAAAAAGCCTCCCTAAAGAACATATATCAAAGTTTCACACTTTCATTTATTCGCTCCGTCTTAGAAAACCTGGAATCAGTTAAGGAATCGAATAACTGATGAATAAGTGGTCGTAAATCGTACGAATGTTTGGTTGTAATATTGAACTTCAATGTAACATGTACTATCGACCCCATATTGGATCAAATAGAGGGTCTTCATGTTTTGCGTAAAGCACGAAGTTGAAATTCGACAGTTTGTATTTTTCAAATTTTGAGACTACATATAATGGAAGCTGCGGTTCAGTTTCTCTTACCTATTAGACTTAAATTTAGCCCATTTTATTGTAAGGTCCTTACAGGGAGATGTAATCTTTAGTATTTGGTCTGAGGTGTTCTTTTTTGTAATACATCCTGTTTTATTCACTGAATTATCTAAAGTTGCCGACTGTTGAATTTGTGTTTCGGCTCCCAGAGATGTCACTGCCCTAACCGGTCATAGGCATTAATCGTCGTCTTTTATGACATTAGAATGCTACTGAATATAAATCCTCAATATTCCCTCCTGGTCCTATTGTGATGTGTTCTACTTATATCGACAGATATAAGTAGTATGTATCATTAGTTGAAAGTGAAATGCATGAAAGCAGAAGGTTAAGAAGATCGAAGGAAAGAGAACGATAACAGAATTATTGGTGTTGAAACGAAAGAACATTGAGGTCTGAGACGATTAATTAACATTTTGCAAATGAATTATTGTATGGTTCTCAAATTTTACCAAGAGATTCTGTAATTTTGTGTTCAAATACATCCGATTGTTCCCACTTGTGTTCTCGTTCATTACACTACCAGACTTGTCAAGTAAGTTGTTCATAATCAGCAAGTTTATTAAATCCTTTATTTATTTTGTTTTTACTATTTTGTTAGCGATCTCTGCCAAGTTCTTGGTGCTGATACGGTTTACTGCACCGTTTCAACAATTATTTCTTATATTAAACCATTGGAATCAGCATTTGTACTGGTACAAGCGTTGAATCGGATTCTTTTAACTCAACCAGTGTTACATAATTTCCGTAAACAATTACGTTGTATTAATACGAAGGTAAGGTGGAATAGGTAGTGTTCATTTATAAATATTGGTATATTTTCACCAAGAGATAATCACAAAATATGTTAATATTTGATTCTGCTAACATCTCTTAGTACTATTCGATGCTTTCCCTCAGTTGATTGTTTAGAGGTTTTATTTGTTTATTTTTTCGCTGTACTAGTAAATTTTATCTAATAATACTTAATTGTTAAAATAAACTCGTTTTTAAACAGTATATGTTTCAGGGAAAAGGTCGGTCTTCTAGCTTCGGAGAAGTTTTTCAACTATTAGCCATTTATTCTGGGTTGCCAAAAGTTTCATTGATCCTCGATATATACCCCGAATCGATTTCATAAATCTCATTCGACCAACATTGTTTTAAAACTAGATTAAATTAAGTAATGGGATATCAAAAGTCGAATACTAAATGTTTTAAGCCTATTATGTTTCTAAAACCATACAAGCGAATGATTACAGCCTGATCCAAATTGTTGAGTTAAACATCACTCAGTTTTTATGTAAGATAAAACCAATTAGAACATAGATAAAGACAGACAACAGACGGACTTATTCATTTGTAAATAAGAATGAACATAATTTATCGTTCGAGCTTATCTCATGTAACTCATAGGATTACTATGTGTCTACTTTATAAGCTCTTTACTTATCCAAAAAGAGCTAGTGCCAGTATGAGTCAATCTTTCTCAGTGATTGTTTGCTGAAGTCTATCTGACTCGAATATTGATTAGTTCGTGATGATAAAATTTTACGCCATTGACCTTCATATCTCAACTATTAGTTTGTAATAGTGGATCACCTGATTAAAAAATTGATTCTAGTTACTACGCTTATCGATCATTCAATAGGATATACTTTAATGAGCAACAACAATACTTGGTGTTGAGGAATAATCCTAACCCACTGAATGTCTCCTTGTCAAACAATAAAATCGAATTATGAGTGGTTTGTTAAATAATCACAAATTCTTCTATATATAACATAGTCCTCACTTTATGTAGTTAAGTAACAAAAATATATGCTAAACAACAATATTATTTGTGAGATACGTTCGTGTATTGACATCACTTTAGCTCATCCAAACAATTATGCCTAATGATACTGACAGTACTTTAAGCATACCACACGACTGATTTCAATTCTTACACTTTTTTTCACAATATATCTTCATATTCAAAGCATTTGTCTATTTTCCTTTTTTATTTTACAAAACAAATATCTACATTCTCTCCATCGTATGTACATATTTTAGGCCCAATGTCAGTTGTTTGAAAAACTGTATCGTGCTTGGTGTTATAATCCTGTTTCTCTGTTAGCACTATGTATGCTGACTGAAAATTATAAACATTGTAGTCGTTTAGTGAAATCATTGTATCCTTTTTTTAATTGGAAAAAAGTAGAATTTTAACAATGGATTTAATTTTCAATCAGTTTTTTAACAGCATATAAAATAAATGAAGTGGTTAGTTTTTTTATAATTTTCATTGAATAGAACTAATCTATGGTGTGAGATTTAAAGGGCATTTGTAAATGTGTTGTGTGTACAAAGAGCATGCAGCAATTATTTCTGGTATTGTTGTATTCTATTCATCGTAATTAATAGACAACGAGTTAATCAATTCAAGATAGTAGTGGTATAACTTACCACATGTTGTATCTCGAGTCTAATAAAGCTAAAAATTTTTCAATGAATTCTAAGGAAGGAAGTGGACTTGGCAGCTTCGCAAAAATATTCAGATCACTCTGTTAATTACACTTACTGTATGCAAGGTAAGTGAACTCCTTTGACTAATAATCGCGGTAGATCGAGTGAAATACAAACGGTTATCCTACTAGTGAAATTACTATGTCTGAAGAACTGAAGGATGCTTTTGGTGATTTTTGACAAAATTTACTTTCTTTTCTGACTTAAGAAATAAACAAATCACATCATAGTGCCATAATATCAAGTATCATTTTCTGATAAGTAATATGCCTTTGGTTACCATATCTTTAATAATATTTAAACCATAACTTCGTTCACACTTTTACCTCATTCAAAAACTATCCCGGTTCCGTATACGTTGAGATGTACGTTTTTTTTTTAAAAATGTACAATTTGATTTATGTGATAGCTTAATTGTATTTTAATAATTAGAATAAATATTGCGGGGAAGAAGAACAAGGAGATTAGATAAACAATCATATGTCAACTAAACGATACTTAGTTCAAATAGGGAATGAATTTATGCGTAAGGTAGTGCGTTCTGCATGCTCCATGCGTTAGTTTTATTCCTTAACGATATTATTTTGTTTTTGACTAAGCGGAGATATTGTTATTACTGTTGAAACTCTCTGTGATATGGATCAGCTAATTCAAATGATAGAATCACCAATATTCTCCAGTAAGTTTATACATCAATGATAATATTGAGAATTGTTTAAATTAAGTCACCTATTGATGTACCCTTTTTCATTACGCATCTGTCTGTTTGCACAATACCATATTATAATTTTTCTAAATTAAGGTGTAATCAGATCAAGGGAGTTTTCGTGCATTTTGGCAGACATGCAAAGGTTATTTTACTGAAATTGGTTCGGTGTTAGTGGATTTTGTCATGTATTAGGCTTCAGTTCTAAGAAATTAGGCGATGTCGTTGAATAATGAGATAATCATAATATCGTTCAATGTGTGAGCATGTTATCATTACTTTTATGATTTGTGCGGTTCTCTCATGTTTGTTTGAAAAGTATTTTGAATTCTAAGGTTTTAAATGTACTCTGACAAGTTTATCTTCAATATATATTCTTATTGACCTAACTCTTCTGACTGTATGTATAATTTTAAGGGAGGCTTCTAGTGAAGCGAAGTGGATAGAATTGATTAGATGCTCCGAGATTGAGCTTTTGACTAACTTTTGTAAACGTTTGGAGAGCCAGATAGTGTAATATTCGGAAATGCGTTTCGAAAAAACTCGCTTTGTGTGGCCAATATAACCTACTTCACATGATCAAGTAAACTGACAGATACACACTGATTTCTCTCAGACTTTCAAGAAAACGTTCTATTAGGTTGAGCCTCACACTATCTTTTCTAGCTGACCCATGATTCTAAGTTGCGTAAAGGACAATCTCCCGTATTGGGCGAAATCAGTGTAAATCTATCAGTTTACTTGATCATGTGAAGCAGGTTATATTGGCCACACAAAGGGAGTTTTTTCGAAACGCATTTCCGAATATTACACTATCTAGCTCTCCAAACGTTTACAAAAGTTAGTCAAAAGCTCAATCTCGGAGCATCTAATCAATTCTAGCCACTTCGCTTCACTAGAAGCCTCCTTTAAAATTATACATACAGTTAGAAGGAGTTGACTCAATGAGAATGCAAATGAAAAACTTATGTACAGCAAAGGCTATTGCTATCCACCAGTTTTAGCCTAACCTTTGTGGACAGAAATAGTATGCTCAACCCCTCATTCATCCATGACCCTAACCTCGCTTTCTATACTCCATAATATATCGTTTTTATTTATTTTATCATTCCTACTCCTTTCCAGTTGTTTTCACAACTATTAACTAGCAATCATTACAACTTTTAACAATTTTGTTCTTAATAGCTATCAAGTGGATAATTATTTCGCCTTACCATTTTTCACTAACCGATTGCTACTTAACTTCCTTTCAATATCTGATTTCTAATTCGTGACAACATAACACTCCAAGTCTTTTGATTAGCTAGTTGCTTTCTATCTCACTATTGAATACTATTTTAGCGAATAAAATTGATAATTTTTACGTAGTTTGGCATATACTTACGTATAATAAATTTCGACATATTACTCACTAAAGAAGCACAATATACAGTTAAAACGTAATGTTTCATTTTTCAGGTCTTCGGATGCATATGCTTGATAAACGATTCAGTGCTGATCTTCGCGAAACTTTATATTGCCTACTTATGTGTCTTCCACAAACAGATGCCTTTCAGACACTTTGGCGACGCTTACAATGCTTACCACCTGTGGAATATATTTCAGATAATCCAGTGTAATAATTATTTTCTTTAGTTTCTATTTATTTCCAGATGCTCTGTGCAATCATAAGATCTGAAACACGGAGAATTAAATATTGATTTGGAGTGTTATTAAGTGTTAAAAATGATCTACATGGTTATAACAAGAACTCATTTAAGTATAGCTGGATGTAATCAGCATTTAATTTTCCAGTGTTTGAGATCTTATGGTTATCTTTCAAGAGTTATATTACCTTCTTGATAATGTTTTAAGACGTTAAATCCTTTAATGAGACACGGTAGGGATTTTCCCATTGCTGTTATGACTGACTGTTTTTATTCTTTTGTATTGAATGTCATGTTTAAAGAATTCTCTATTAATAGTAGTCATTTTATTCTGACTTTTGCTTGTGTTGTATGATTTAGTATGTCTTATTCCCAATTTTTGAGCTTTTTATGCATTACTGCAATCCGTTATAAGTTAAATTCATTTGCGACCTAATGAATTTACGCCTACTGACTTTATATAACAAATGTGGGTAATTGTTTATGCTACTTACTAATAGAAAGTAGTTCGATATCCCAAGCTGTAATAAAGTGGAGTCTCCTTGAGTGCTTAGTCTGTTTGCTATAATAAGAGCAAAACTGTCATAGTTAACTGTTATTCATTGGATTTGTGTATAATGGTTTAGTTATCTTGAATAAGATTTCCATATTGAACTAAGATTTATTGTTATAAGGTATAAATTTTTAAACCATTTCTTTTTGTATTGATCCACTCTTTTAAGTAGTCGGATTTCAAAAGGTCCCCAGTCTACACAGAATATAATTAGTGTGTACATCAACTTTAATGAGTTATTTGATTACTTTCATTCAATTCAGAAGCAATCTGATGAATATCGTTTAATGAAAATGATAAATCACAATAGGAATGGAGCACAACCACAAAATCAAAATAGTTATACAATATCCAATGAAAATCGTTCAAATAGAGGTAGTCTTGGAAACGTTTTTAATAAACTGGCTGTCTCCGATGAAAAGCCATCTGATAATATATATCCAACTGATATTCAGAGGAAAATTGATTCTAAAACCACAGTTTGTTCAGCTAATGATTATCTTACTGCGGTAAATTTGTTTGCTCCTTGTAATATTGTTTTAATTATTTTCGTGAATTAAATGATATTAATCTTAAAGATGCTCTCATCAAGCACAATAACAGTTTCCCTACTCGCAGCATAATCTCCACGCTTTCTTATAGCCTATCATGATGACAGGAAACTTAATGTATGTAACTGATGTAATGGCATGTGCAAAGTGTTTTTAACTTACTAAAGCTAATGTTTAAGTATGAACTTCATTTATGGAAAAAAGTATTCAAGGGGTTTCAAACAAACCACCTCTTCTTAGTGTCTTCTGAATCGTTGCTGAGAAGTGATTTCAAGATTTCACATACCACTGTGATTTATGTTTCTCGTATATACAACCAAAACAAATGCTTATTGTGTACATAAAATTAGCTATTTGTTTCTCTTTTTTCACCTTGGATTGACTTGTAAATGTTTTTAAGTGAAAGTTTTTATCTATTTCACCAGATATTTCATCATTTTGTAATTATTCCATTGATTACTTTGCTCATTTGCTACTCTCACTGTTCGATTGTAAATTCATTTTCAACACAGATGTTTATTGATCTACGTTACCATACCTCATCTCAGCACAGCAAGAAGAGAGAAATGGGGCTAATACCCATAACAGTCATCACAATGAAAAGTATAATTAAAACAAACAAATAAAATTGATTAATGCGAATTACAGAGTGAATACTACCATAGTTTTTTATTCTCGCTAATAATATTGCTCTCACACTCTAGCAGACGGGTCGGATATTTCTTCAAAAATGTTCTGTTAAATTTGTCGATATGATTCACAGTGTAGTGAGATATTTATTTTTAATTTGAGAAGACACAGTAATAAAGCTGATTTTTCATCTGTACTATCATTGATGTATACCTAGATGCTTCATATTGAGTTTTATCTAATATTATTCTAATATTTTTTTTCGAAATCTTTTTTTAGAGTTTTGCCAATCTAGGAATAAACATTGACTACGGTGCCCCATTGAATATCGTTGATTAGTTGGGTTTTTGTCGGAATCGTTTGCATGTTGAATATGATGCTTTTTATTGATTTTTGGATTTTTATCTTTACATACAAATGACTCCATGTGATCACTTCTATTTACATGTACTATGTTAAATTGTGATTTTTTAATACTTCTGAAACTGCATATAACTAGTGATTGAAAATATGATACATTTAAGGTCACTTCATTTATTTTAACTTTTTCGTAATTCTTAAATATGATTTTTCTTAATTACCAGTCTTTTGTTCTTTTGTCAACTGTGATCAATAAGACGATTGAACTTTCTTGTTGGTGTCCTTTTACAACGGATAATTTCCATGTATATTCGGTACTTTATACAATTTATTTGTATGGATGTACGCAGTTGGTGTTGGTCACGTGTGATGAGGTAGCTTGTAATTGTTGCTCAACTTCAAATAGACTAAACATCTAACCAGTGGATCCTTGTAGTGTGTATATGTACAAATGGGGTGGATTGTTAGGTGTACTTTGTCACATTGCCTACCAAATTTGACAACACTATTTAAGTCTCCCTTCCCAAGTTTGGCTGTTACGACTTTAAATGTATGGAAAACAGCTGAGTTTTTTTTCAGGTAAATGGTTTAATCCAAAAAAAGATTAAGAAATTTTTAAAATGTTTATCAAAATTCAGGATCTTGTTATTCTGAATTGTGGGAGTATTCTTTACTGACATTGCATTGACAATTCATTGGCGTTTTAATATTTAGTCTATAGACATAAAATTGTTACTAAATTAGATAGGAAACTGTGATAGATTGTCTAAATTCAACTAATATTTCAGTCAGTTTGTCTAATGATATTGCATTAACACTTCCTCAAAGATCTTTCGAGTCAGTTCTTTAACTTTTCATTGTATTTTCCATTTCGTAGCTAGTTTCAGCTTTATCAACTGCTTAAGGTTTAGTCATCTAGTTTCATCACATGTAGACTCAAAAGAATGAAATTGACTGATAATCCATCATAATTTTACGTGATGTATTCTCCCCATCATTACAGGGACTTGATTTAAGGGAGACAAACTGAGTCATTTTGTACAACCTTTTCAATTGTTGTTTTGGATCCAGTATTTCATATAAATACTGACTGCTAATTAGTGTTGCTTTTGCTATATATAGTCTTCGTCGGATATAACAATTCGTTTAACACTCGTGAGTGGGATAAATATGACATTTTATTTGTTTACTTTTGGAAGTATATGTTTCAGTCATCGGTGATCTGTTACTAGTATAATCTTAAATTTGATTAGATAAAAGGGGTGCTAGTAGTCTTCCATCATTTTGGAATTAAAACATTGTCGTACGACCTAAAAAGACATGTAATGCATAAATCTATTATCAAGATATAAGTCTACTATCAGTTGTGCCTAAGTCGCTGGGTTCCACTGTTTCTTATAACCCGGATTTTTGCTCCGAACATTTCCTATATGCTGACATATAATAAATCACCTGATGATCCATTAAATAGAAAGAATTAATAGTCGACATATCTGTATCAAATTTATTAAGGAAACCTGCTGGTCCGATCTAACCTCAAGACTTAGTAGTCTGAAATGTCTTGGGGACACATTAGTACTTTCACACTAGTGATTTACTGAAGAGACACATATAAACATCCGCCCAAGTTTCTGCATCTCATTAGCATAACAAGATGGACAAATTCATAAAAGCAGTTACTTTAATGATAGTAAAAAAACGTTTCATATAAGGATATGATATAGGGAGAAAGAAAGGTATAAAGTAATATTAATCCCAAGGTTTAAGGGAAGACAAATAGTGTGTACGCCGACGCCATTGTGATAGATTCTGAGCCATGTAACACAGTCTCCAACCATTGGTTACAATGGTCACGCAGACCCCAATTAAGTAGTCTGCATCTACGAACATGGCTTAGACCAGAAGTTAGTGACTTCAAGGACTGATGTCGAGTTTCGGTTTGGCCACCCCTGACTTTCTTCCAGCCGTCTCTAACACTAGTCAGCATTACGCGCCGTGGTAAACGGTGTTCAGGCATACGTAACACGTGGCCCAACTATCTCAGTCTATGAAGATTCACAACCTCATCAACTGATTTACCACCATTCCCTGATACCCCGTGTCTAACTTCACTATTACTTACCCAGTGGTCCTAGCATATACGAGCAGTTTTTCTAAGGCATCTGTGGTCAAATACTAGTAGCTTACGAGGATCTTCTACTCTTAATTGCCACATTTCGCAGCCGTAAAGTAGAACGGAACAAACTGCCGCGAAGTATACTGGTCCCTTAATTAATAGATGGATATCTCGCCTTCGCCATAGGTGACGTAAGTTGGCGAAAGCCAAACGACAACTTCACTCCCTATCCTTAGTTCAGGTGTTGATGCAGGCCAGTCCTGAAGCAACAACTTGTATTTAGAGGGGGAGGAACGCATTCCAAATATTCTGGTATAGAGTTGTTCAGTGCTACCAAAAGACTGCATTTGATCAGCGTTTTAACCAAACAGGACTATGTCATTTGAGTATTCTAAGTCGATAAGTTGACCTCCTGGTAGGAGATCAATTCCCAAAAATTCAGTCGACAAGAACGTTATTTCCATCAGTAGGTCTATGATGAAGTTAAACAAAAATGGAGAAATTGAACAGCCTTGACGGACACCACTTGAGGTTGCGAAAGCAGATGGCAGTCTGCCATAAGCTCTGACTCGACTAGTAGTGTTCGAGTAAAGAGCCTTCACAAGGTTTATGTACTTCTGAGGTATGTCTTTCAATGACAGACACTGTCTGTGTTCTAGAACATGACGAATGGTGAACATGTGGTCGGTACAGCCACGACCAGGTCTGAAGCCAGCCTGATTTCCTCGTGTTTGCAGTTCACGAGTCCTAGTTAGGCGACCGACAATTATCGACGCTAGTATTTTAGATGTTATGTTAGTCATACTAATCCTTCTATGGTTGTCACAGGATGATTTTAACCCTCTCTTATATATTGGGACGATCAGTGATTGTGACCAGTCAGATGGGATAACGTCCAACCCCCAGATTTTAGCTAAAATATTAGTCAACTTAATCACCAAAACTGGACCACCGTACTTAAGGACCTCTAGAGCCAATCCATCTGGACCAGCTGCCCTTCCTCATTTCAGATTAACTATAGCCTTTTGAACTTCAGCTAGATTTGGGAGACCTACTTCAATGTTTCATTCACACTGTCTGGGAATGGTGGGTAGTTGTAGAGTAGCGGAGGTTTAGCTGAACTGCTCCTTAGATTGTTCCGCCCATCGTAGTGCTATACCTATACCCGCCAGTCCACTTTGGTTAACCTAGATGTGAATTGTTTTCGCCCTTCATCGTGTTCGGGGCCTGATGGGATGAGTTTACGAGAATCTGCCAATGCAATAGACTTAGTAGAAATCCATTGATTTTTCGTAACCCTTCGTTTTGAATCACTAATAGATGTCGTTTCTGTTTCCACAGCTGTCCGTGTGTCTTTCCAAGCAACATCTGGGTCAGCCTCGTTTTCAGAACTACCTAAGTGTGACCTTAGTTGTTCCTAAAATCTACTTTTGGCTTCCTTGTCACTGAGTTTGACTCTAATGGGTATTCTTAATGTGGTTTCTCTGGGTCCAGTGATGCGCAAGCAGATGTGTGCTCGTATTAGAGCATGATCCGAGTCCAAACATGTACTCTTGAACTTAACCAATAAAGACCGATTGGTTCATCACGATAGGCGAGCCTGACCACCATGTTAAGTTAGTAGCAATTGTCAGGAAAGCGACGATTGGATATTTTCATGTACTGTATATATATTATTTACTAACTTATATTGTTTAAGGCTGTGAATTTGTTACGCATATCTTGAATTGTAGCTTTATGGGTGCTAAATAAATATATTATATGCGAAAAATTCAGTTAAACTAATTCATGAAAAATCAGATAATAAAGCATAATGGCAAGAGAGCGAATAACAATTATGATTTAGTATATTGCATAAAATTCTGCTCATTCAAAAGGTGTTATTCAAGTGACTGAATATCTCCCTATTTAGTGAAGATATAAAAACTGATCTATTGCCAACAGGTTGTGCATTGATTATAAATAACTACTAAATATATGTAGTATTATTGTGGATAAGGAACTTGTTATTACTTATTTATATACAGACTAAACAAAATATAAAGTCACTGGATATGGAGTACATACTAAACAATCAAGAAAGTATAATGTTCAAAACAACGTAATACATTAAATTATTAGATAAACACAGACATTATTAAATAAGGAGATAGATGGGACAATTGGGGAATTATTTGAAGATCCAAACAAAATTATTATATCACCGATAGTTGGGTACATGATATTCTGCATTGCGAGTGAAACTTACTTTTATGCTATTTCTGTTATGGTGGTTATGCAAATCGATTACAGATGAAAAACTACCTAATTAGGTTTCAAAGCTCATGATAAACTTTTTATTAAAATGGTGGTCACTTAGTATGAGATTGGTTTAGTCAAGTAGTATTTTTGTTCTCATCTTGTCAGTCACGTAGAGATAGAAAAGAAATCTGGATGATTTTGGGAAGTGGAGTTTTTTTCATTATTTACTAATGTCAGTTAGAAAACTATTAGAAAAGTGAGGGTAGTGAACTGCTATCAAAAATCCCCAGCATTCAACACTTCATCGTCATAATCTGTGTCACCATCTATTGAACTGGAATTGTTACTCCATATCTCGAAATTACAGAATCAAGTGCCCATTCTGAGATCATAATATTCTCAAATTTCAAAGAAACCTAAACAAGGATGAAATACTTGCATAGTGCTCCTTGGTTTCCAATAGTTCTCTGTTTTCTGTAATTAGATACAATTATTGTATCATCGATGAATAAATTTTGAAAACTTTAGCATCTGAATTGTTGTCTAGTTTTCTAATAATAAAATCATAAACAACTGCCCCAATGGTGCTACAACAATGCTCGAAAATAATCAAGACTTTATACCCAAAAAGCTTAAAACGTAAACTTTAGAGGTGTCAACCAATTCGGTTGTCATTAGCTCCTCAGCTAGTTTAAGCAACACATACTTAATCGCTTTTCGAAGTGGTAAATTAACAGCTAAAAATCTATTATCGGTTCGTTTTTGAAAGTTTGATTTGACGACTCAAGTAGATATGACAGTTGTTATATGACCTAAGTAATCAGTGGTATTCATAGGCACCGAAATTTGCTTTTATCATTATGTGTAAGTTATAGTTGGTTTATTTATGAAGTTTTATTTTAAATGTTGGTGCGAAATCCTACTGGAGCAATAAACTGGTTTTCAATGTATGATAATTAATATTTTACATCACATGACATTACGATCACTGTAGTTTTGAAACAGTATTACGAATTAGTAATGATAAAGTCAAATAGTAGCTCATCAATAAAACGCAACGATGAGAAA